AATTAAAGTACTAGAGTAATTGAGCGTTATAATATGTGGTTAGTTTATTGAAATTTGAGGTGCTCAAGGTCTTATAGCATGGCAAGAAATACATTTGCTATAAGTTTAAGAAGCCAATATTCATTTAGTTTGCAAAGAAACTAGAGAACACATTTTGAAAGATTTCATGTTATAGCAAAATTGTTTATTCTTGTTCTCTTGGACTTTGATTTTCTGGTTTTGCGAAAGAAATTGAAGTTCACATTTTGGCTGCCATTGTTTATGCAGCTAAAATGATTATGTTGTCATGGTCTTTTATTTTTAGTATTGAATCAGTGTTTCAAAAAGCGCTAGGACATCTAGGCGGTCGGGGGGGTCCAAGCCGCCCAACGCCTATGCGGGGCGCCCAACACTTGGGCGGCCCAATAGAATATTTTTTTTTGGGTTTTCTCTCTCTAAAATAGCCTCTAATGGGGTTTAGGTTCAAATGAACTTAAAACCCACAATTTTACCCCTTTAGTATTAAAGAAATGACCCAAAATTACCCACAAGGAACCGCATTTCTGCCCTTGGGTTATCCGCCTAGGCACTGGGCGGTCCGCTTTTTGAAACAGTGTTTATGCTTCAGTTAGTGTACATAATTTTTCTTTGCACACTTTTCTTATTAACAATGTATTTTTTCGCCACATGCTTTATACTTAGGGAAAATTACAAATAACCCCCAAGACTAGACTTTCTATGCAAGTTACCCCCAACCAAAATTTTTTTCTCACTTTTTTCCCCAAAATACACTTTTCTATTAAATACCCCCCAAGTAAAAAACGTACATTAACATAAAAATTTAATTTTGGCCAGGCATGCACGTGGGCTTACATGAGCTGCCGGGCTGCTATTTGACATTATTGAACCCTGGTAAACTAAAAAAAGTGCTGGATCGCACTTTGGGCTTGTTGCCGGACCGCATGGGCCTGTTGCCGGACTGCATGCGCCTGTTGTCGGATTGCTCTTTAGCAGTGCCAGACCGTATGGGCCTATTGCTGGACCATTCTTTGTCAGTGGCGGACCGCCACTGTTATTTACCGGATCGACATTACACTGCCAAACCACCC